GTCTGTTTTCTAGTATGTGAAAGAGCAAAGAAAAATAAAACTTAGGTATTTTCCAGTTTCATAAGGTTTTAGGAAATATGCTGTCTATAAAATTTTCTGGGATACGGAATTCAGAAGCAGGTTGGAATATACAATCTACAAGAAGGTTTTCATAGTATGTGGATCAAATAAATACATTAGGAAGAATTATGGAATAGAAATCTGGTCAGGATTGTTAATTCTTGATTAACCATTGATCAAGGTATTAATACAATCATGAACATGTGTCATACAGGCATATTCCTAGCATATTCAATTTAGTTTATTTTAATGTCAACAAAAAAATAAAATTCAAGCATTCTTGGAAAGGGAGCACACCAGTTTTCTGGCTGCTTTTTAAAAAAATATATTTTCTGATCCAAACATGGATCCCAAGGGGAAAAAAAAATTAAGCATATTTATCAGCTAGAATCTATTGGACCACAAACATTTGTCCAAGTCATCCTGTCTCCCCCTTATAAATCACCAAAAGCATCAATATCCAACATTCTTTGCTCAAGTATTTGGGGATCTGTATATTGTATTTTTTATATTTATATTTATTTTATTTATATTTTATTTGATTTGTATACCGCCCTACTCCCGAAGGACTCCTCTCAAACATTTAAAATTCCCCATTACTTAAATCTGATCTACTATCCAGGTCCCATCAACATATGATGCAACTCTGCCCGTAGCTTTGTCTTTATGCACCCATCCTTGCTTCATTTTACTGCATAAACTTAGTGAACATACTCTAGACCTTAGAAATATAGCAGAGTTATATCTTAGTGATACAGAGGATGTTATGGATGTAAGTGACATAGCTTCATTCTCTAGCATATCTACTTTTGAAGAAAGGATCAGGAATGAGTGGTATGGGAGCCCAGAGAATTGCTATTGCCAGTTGTTGGCACCTGGCTGTTATATCTCTGTAGGTATTTGTTTTATTGAGTAAAATGTCTGTTGTGGACACCTTGAGACTCCTGACTCTAATGATTAAGGATATAAGTCAGACAGTGTTAAGTAGCATTCAGGAGTAATCATTTTATTTATTTAATTCTAAGTGGCAAGCAACAAAAGAAGGATTAGAAACAGAAACACAGCAATATAAGGATATAATACTAGAAATAAACACATAACCCTGCATGGGGAAACAGAAATATTATTTTTAAAAAATCACCGAACAAGATGACAGTCACTCTGTCCCAGGGCCTGCTGGGAAATCTAAGTGCTTATCTTATGCAGGCCAGCTGGATTGGGGCCATGCAAACTTTTAGGATGGGCAGCCATGGAGAAGACACTTGTCCAGCATTCTGCAAGATAGTATTGTCTCACAGATGGTATCTGGAGCATGCTGGCCCTGTGAGATACTACTAGAAAAACAGAGACATCCTATAGAAATATGGGCCTATCAGATCATCCCTATCTTCAAATTATTTTCTTAATGGTGAACAATAAAAGAATTACCTTAACTTTCCATCTCTATTCTGGTATAGTCATGTACAAAATAGGGTTAAGGCTGGAATAAACAAAGGCCAGTCTATGATGGAAGAGGAGGAGAAGACAACAATTTTGGGTACTCCTATTGACCCTTGGGACTTGTTACTTTGGTAACCCTGGTCTATGCTAATTATTCCCAATTTTGCTTCCAATGGCCCTGAAACATATATCCTTGAGTTATAGATATACAGATAATATAATTTCTTGCCTGTTTATTTCTCTCTTTCTCTTTCCTGTCTCCCCTTATTTTTTGCCTGCCTTTAACCCATTTTTCCATTAACTTTTTATATTTGCTGATGTTTAATAAATAAACATTTAGCTCCATTTTGCTAGCTTAACTGAGTAACATGTGTACTTGCTCAGATTTGAACATAAGGAATTGACTGTGCTGAATGCAAATTTAAAATGGAAATTACCTATGGTAATTTTCCAACAGCCTCAAGCCAGGAAAAATAATAAGATAGGAGTACTGGAAAATAAATTGCATTTTCTTTAATCGAATGTGTAAAGTGCTGGTTATACTAATTTATTTTTCCCCTTATGCCTGAAATAAAGAAGATAAAAAATTGATTGGGTTGTCTAGTGAATTGTACCTACTTTTCCAGGTCCTTTGCAGCTTAAATGGCAATAGGCAGTAAAGAAGGATGGTCTCATGATTACAAATAAAATGGATGAAGAATCGCATGTTGTTAGGAGTTTCAGATCCAATAATCTGACTTTAGGGTCATAAAATTCAATGCCAGCACTTTGAATTTGCCAGAGAAACAAACTCTGCCAAATGGATGATTAATTTATGATCTTCCATAAGATTGGCAGACTAAATTATGGCCCCCAATCAGTAGTGGGTTCCTCTTACCTTCGCTACCGCAGAGCATCCGTGATATCTCGGCAGGTGGGCGGAGCCTCCCGCTGCCACCACTACCGAACTGGGGTGAACCGGTAGAAACCCACCACTGCCCCCAATCCATGGAAGGCAATTTTTGCAAGGTTGCCTGGCTATGTGATGATCTCAGGGGGAAAGAGAGATTACTAAACTCCCTCCGCCATAGAGGCTTTAGGAAACAGAAGAACAATTCTTAGAAGGAAGCACCTGAATCACTGAAAATGCTTCCTACATATGTTGTCTTGAAAACTGTTTAAAAGAAAATGCATACTTAGATCTTGAGTCATCAAAACAGGAAGCAGTTCAAGCTCATCTCTGCAGTTATGATCCCAAAAAAGGTAAAGTTTCAAAGCAGACTGGACTCCGGATGACTTCATGGAGAAATCAGGTTTGTCTTCTTGGCAGCAACATGGAAGTGATATGCCGTTGTTTACTTCCAGGATGTTATTTTTTTAAAAAAAATATATTATGGTCTGTCTTGTAGTACTGGGATTTCCTGATGGTTTCCCATCAAAATGCTCTCAAATTAAATCCTGCTTAGTTTTTTTTAAATCAACCATAGAGAGTCTTAGCAAGATATTGTATGTCACGTTACTGTCCATCTAGTTTAGTGTTGTTTGTTTTGGTTGGCAGCAGCTCTCCAGGGTCTCATTGAAAGAGGGGGGGGGTGGTGTTTCTAATTCCTTGCCCTGAGCTGTTTTTTTAAGAAATTGCCAGAATTCCATTTGTTTGCTTGTTTATCATTTTTGGAGCCACCCATCTCCCTCATAGACTGACTCTCTGTTCCCTCATCTGCCTATCTGAGCACATGTGTATCTTCATACACACTAAGATACATTGACAATAAGTGGATCAGGTCATTCTCAGATTCTTCCAGTCTAGTAAATAGCATCAGGGTACTTAGATAATCCAAGAGTCTGTTTTTTATTTCTCCACACTGATTCTTGTCTGATTGGAGCAATTGACTGTTACACTCCAAGGATGATAAAAGCTCTCTGCAGGTTGAGTGCTCCTATTTAGCAACAGCATATGGGAATAAAGATAGAGGGAAACCCACATTCTCAAAAGGCATCAACTTAACAGTTTGATGTCCATTGTGCTGCATAGCAAGATGGAGCCCTTATGTACTAACAGCAGTGCATTGGGGCCATTTTTTCAGGGGTTACCAAGAGAACCGTTGCCCCAACAGCTCTGTGTCACTCTCGGCTATGTTCAAGTTGGCAGTGGTTTTCTTACAGTCTTGTTCTTGAAGACAGTTGGAAAGAGGGCAAGGGACTCAGCAGCTGAATTTGGCTGCTGAAAAAATGGGAATTGTTGAGCTTCTCATTTCAAAAAAGAACATTTTGTTCTCCAGTTTTGGTGTCCCAGTTCTCTAGGCACAATTATCAAAATAATTGGTAAAAATGCCATGCTTTCTAAATTGTCAGTTCCGTTTTCTGTTTATCATATTTCCTTGACGATTCCTTCTTGCCTTGAATCTTCTACAGATTTTTTTTTTTAGAATTCAGTTCTGCCAATGAGCCATTTTGATGGCTTTAAAGGCAGCCTGCATGCTTTGTGCCTGAAACATACTCTCAACATGGCTTAGCTCACACGTGAAGTTGGGTGTGCGACATAGACCCATAAATACCAGTATCCCTATGATCACTCCCTCCATGCCTGTCAGATTCCTTGTCTTGATTTCTATTAATTTTTAAAGCCTTTTAATTAGTAAAACAAAAGGCAAGTGGAAAATGACCATGTTGGAAAACCAAATGTAAATGCCATCTGCATTTTACATAAACGCCACCAGCCCTTACATAAACTCAATAGGTTTGCCTAAAAATAAAAATATTATGTACCTGCAACTTGCTACCTTGTTTGAAAATAAGTCTACCGGGCCAGATGTAAAGGATGATGGAGCTGACTTTGGCGAAGGAAGGGAGAAACTTACAAAAGAGTTTACACAGTCTTGGGAAACGGGGGGGAAAAGAACTTCATTCAACTTGATTTTGTTTACACATAATCCTCAAGTTACGACTATTCAGTTAATAAACTTTCAAAGTTTATTTGGTGAAAAAAGTAACTTATTATTAGTCCTTATTCTTATGGCTGTCGTAGCATCCCTGTGATCATGGGATCAAAATTTGTGTACTTAGCAATCAGTATACCTTTACAATGGTTCCAGCATCCCAGGATCCTGTGATCACCATTTACAGCCTTCTCGAGTGGCTTCCAACAATCCAAAGGTCATAAAATCAGGTACAACTCACAACCACATCCCTTAGCGATGGAAATTCTGATCCCAATTGTGCTAGGTTGAGAACTACCAGTTGTATAAGATGGGATGGAGAGAAACTTCACAGGCCTTTAAAATTCTATGTTGTTGCCGCCAGAATTTCATTTGCACAAAATTGGAAACAAAGATTTGCTCCATCAAATACGATGATCATAAAAAAGGTGCTAGAATGTGCAGAAGCAGATAAATTAACAATGGAATTAAAAGACCGAGAGGAAATGATTTATTATGAGACATGGAATAGATGGTATAACTGATTGGAGAAACAATCCAAAATTAATGTATAAATGTATAAACATAAGAGAAGATTGTGTAATAGATAGGTATAAATTGTAGTGAATATAGAAATTCGTAAGTAATACATAAAATGTATGGGTATATAGTTGGTTATAGATATTATTACAGATGCCAGTATCGGAAAGCTGTAAAAATGTAGCAAGGATGTTAAAGATGTAAATGTTGAATAAACATTATCTAAAAAAAATAAATAAATTCTATGTTGTTCTACCTTACACAATTTACACAGTTTGGTCTAGTGGTTAAAGCATCAGGTTAGAAACCAGGAGACTTGAGAACTCTAGTCCCACTTTAGGCATGAAAGGAGGCTTGGTGACATCTACGAAGATTCTCAGTCATCCAGGTCATGGTTGTCCCAAAGGTGGTTTTTCAAGAGGCAACTGAACTTTCTGGTTTTTCTTTAAATATGTTTCACTTCTCATCCAAGAAGCTTCTTCAGCTCTCAAGTTCTTGAGGCCGGTCTTTAGGCCGGTCACTCTCTCTCAGCCAAGGTTCTTCTTGTGGGAAAAATAGAAGGAGGAAAGGGAAGTATGTATGTACTCTGCCTTGAGTTATTTATGAAGTAATAAAGGTGAGAGAAAAATTAAATAAATAAATAAATAAATCAGGAGATCTGATTGGCTGTGCCCTTTGTAGTCCCCATTTGGGAAAATATTTGCCAATATTCTCAAAACATGAAATTTACTCACAAAGTGGAAAAAAAAATACTTGGAAAATATGCAAACTTTTATTGGACATCTACCCACATAGGCTTTGATCAGATTGGGTCCATTTTATTGCAGGTGCTTTTATGCCTCTTCAATTAAATACAAGAATCAGTTTATAAGATGACACAATAATACATTATATCAATATCATATCACTATCATAATATACACACATAAAATCAGTAAATATATCAAATTCAAAAAGCTAAGGGTAATAATTTCGATTTATAGATAATGGGCTGAGGGAAAGGATTAAATTCTGCTTGCTTATCCAGGGATAAATCTTATTCACCACAAGCCTGCAGTCAAATGTTTTTTTCTCAAGCAAGTTATTACTCAGTCTATCTGTACTGATAACAGCAATATTCTTCATACCTGTCCTTCTGTCTGTTCATTTGAAAACCCTGCCTTTTACTGTCACTTCTGCTTTCGTAACAGCTCATGCTTTATGGATTATTTTAATTACACATAATTTTTCTTCATCTGAAAGTATCTTTTGAATTCTTTAAATTAACATCCTTTGTCATGATGCTATTGCCATATGTTAACAATTCATTTTTTTAAAAAATCAGACCTTTGTTCAGACGTATGCATCAGTCCAATTTATCTTAGTTTTACTTTTGCTTTACTTTCCACCTTCAATTTTCAGAGTAAAGGTTCATTTTTTAAAAAAATAGAGCTTTCAAAATAACAGGAAGGGAGGGACGTTTTCTGGTTTACTGGTTACATACCTTTTTTGCCCTAGATGAGATGCTTCATGCAAGTAGTGTTGAGATGAGTTACTGAAGTCATTCAGCATATATCCCACTCTCTGATAAGATTATATTCAAAACAACACACATGGAAAGGTGACAGCTCCCCATCCTTTCCTGCGTAGAAAAATGGATGATGTAAAATGGCCCCATCCTCTAATCCAGCAGTCACCAACTGGTGGTCCGTGGACCACTGGTGGTCCGTGGGAAAACTTTGGTGGTCCGCAGAAAAATCATTTCCATTTTTTTAATATTGCACTAAATCAGGGGTCCTCAAACTACAGCCCCTGCGCCGGATACGTGCAGTGAACATTTGTGTTGCTGCAGAGAGTCTCCCCCTTCGGGGTCTTTTTGTGTGGGTTGGAGGGGGGCAGAAATTCTGACTGGGGTCTGCTTCAGCCTCCTGGTGCAGGGCTTTGGGCGAAGGCTAGAGGGAAGTGCCACTGGTGGCAAGGAGCTGGAGGGCCTCGTTCCAGTGGGATTGCATCATGACCTGGAACTGGCTGACCACCTCAGCCCGCTGAGCCTCCAGGCACCAGTACCTGGCCTTGCACTCCTGCAGGTCTTCCCTCTGCTTGGAAAGCCTCTGCTCGTAGTCCTGAGTGAGGTACTTCTGCTGAGCCCCCTTCTCGGTCAGATCCAATTTGAACTGAGCCAGCTGTTTTGCCAACTCTTTCTCGTGGTGGCTGCTTAGCTCCAACAACTGCTTCCTGTTGGGGCCCTAAGGAGCCCGAGAGGGCAAGCAAGGACTGACTGGCAGGAGTGGGGTGAGTAGAGGCCAGCAAGGCACCCCTCGATGTGAGTGACATCAAGTTGGCCACGTCCACCCAGTCACATGACCACCTAGCCACGCCCAGCCAGCCAGTCATTAGGCAGATCATATTAGTGATCCGTGGGATTTAAAATTATGAATTTAGTGGTCCCTGAGGTCCAAAAGGTTGGGGACCCCTGCTCTAATCCATGGTCAAGTTGTATGGATGGTAGCTAAAAGATTAGATTTAATTCCTTTGATAGATTATGTAACTCTAGGTTGCTATAATGGTTCATATTTTGGCCATCTCTTTAATGAAGGGTGTCAAACTCAAGGCCCACAGGCCGAATCCATCTCTCAGGATGCTTAGATCTGGCCCGCGGAGCTTCCCTGGAAACAGGGTCAGCCCGCAGTGCCTCTGCCAGCAAAAATGGGCTCCTGAGCTCCATTTTTGGCTGCGATGGCCTCCTGAAACCCTCTACTAGCAAAAACGGAGCTCGGGAGGGGGTCCTCCCGAGCTCCATTTTCACTGGCAGAGGGTTGCAGGAGGCCCTCGCAGCTGAAAATGGAGTTCGGGAGCCCGTTTTTGCTGGCAGAGTGCTCAGGCCACCATAAGCACCCCTGACACAAGTGCTGTCGAGCTGGCCACGCCCACAAAGGTCAAACACAACCCTGATGTGGGCCTTAATGAAATTGAGTTTGACACCCCAGCTGTAGAGTAAAACTATATTGGTTTGTCTTGGCAGCAGTGATGTACTCTTGGAGGTGCCTTAAGAGTTGCCAGCAAAGGTCCTGGGACATTTCCCTCCTCATTTAAGAGGAGCCCCAGTTTATTCCAGTATGTGGGACTTTCATATTATTTCAACCTGTCCCCAGGAAGTCTCTTATTACAAGAAGAATCCCAAAATGCAGTCTGGTCCTATGCTTCTACCTCAATTGCACAGGCTGATCTGCTGGAGTCCAAAAGTGGGCTCATACCTTCATTTTGTAAAGTCTCTGCAGACATTTTCTCCTCCAGCCATGGTTCTTAGTATGTTTTGTCAACAGCCAACTGTGCCTTGTCATTCAATGGAGCTGCAGAGACTTATTTGGAAGTTCAAAATGCATTTAATGTGTTTATTATAATAAAGTAATGGCTCATGCAGGCATCAAAGCAGCTAAATAAAGGTTGCAATCCCAAGTGGCAGTGGTTATAGATGAATTACTGTAATTATCCTCTGTTAAATCAACTTCCCCAGCTCTGAAACATCTATTTTTCATATTTTTATGGTATCAGTCTGCTTGCAGCATCTTGGCAGGTAGCAGTGCCTGGCTGCTGACCTCATTTGAATTCAAAAGCTAAGTAACATCATGCCTGGTTAGAACTTGGATGGGAAATCTCCAGGGAATCCCAGAGCTGCAGGCTACATTTGGAAGTGGAAAAACTTTTCGAAGAAAATAGTGGAAAATGGAAAACCTCTGTATTGTTACCAAGAAAACTTATTCTATTTAGCCATTTGATATAGTGTGGAGATTCCATCTGCTGCTTTGATCAAATGCTTGAGGTGCCACCAGTGGGCTCCAGATCTTCAAGACACTAAACTAGGTATCCGTGTTTCCCAGTCTGATGACATCTAGATTAAGTTTAACATATTTTTTTCACTACAGTGTAGCAACCTCCTTGTTGAAGGAACCCTGAATGATATACCATAAACAAACAAACAAACAAACAAACAAACAAACAAACAAACAAACCAGCAGTCAAGCCCAGTTTAAATAAAACCACTATCAGTAAAAACAACATTCCTGATAAAAAAAAATTAAAATAAGGTTTCTTATAAAAATGGTCTGAAAGACAATCCTAGAGTTTTAATGTCCTACAAATATTTAGTTAAGCAGGCAGTTCTTTAGTATTGGCAAGGAGGCACCAGGTGCAACTCCCCAATTCCTTAGCTAACATGTCCCTGAAACCTGAAACCCTTGCCAGATGTGAGCATAGCATTTCTGTACACTGTAACTATTCACTAAATCTGCATTACTATTACTATTAATCTTCTCATCATTCCTATCACCCATCTCCTTCCACTTACGACTGTCTAACTGTAACTTGTTGCTTTATCCTTACGATTTATATTGTTTCCTAGTATGATTCGATTGCTTATTGTACCCTGTGACTATCATTAAGTGTTGTACCTTATGATTCTTGACGAATGTATATTTTCTTTTTATGTACACTGAAGGCATATGCACCAAAGACAAATTCCTTGTATGTCCAATCACAGTTGGGCAATGAAGAATTATATTCTATTCTACAGTTGACATGCTTCAAGGCTTTATGCATGTTGTGCTCTTGGGAGAGCATCACTGTCTATATTTCATTTTCCTTCAATATCTATAAGAATACATCTAGTATTCTTGCTTCGTAGCTTCTCTGTCTTGCTGAAATGTCATTAGACATTTGAATGCCCCAATAGATATATTTATAGCATATCATTTTGTTGATATGGATTTTGGTGTATTTGATGTATACTCTAAAACTGTAAATTATTTTACTTAAGAATCTTCTGGCTATATGTTTTGAAATTCTAAGATGTGTTTCATTTATTGCAAAAGAGGATATATTTTATAGATATTTTCAGTGCATATTGACCAAAGTCCCCCATTTTCCCCTGAATAATTCTAGTTTCATTTTCTCCTAACTCTTTTCCACCCCAAACATTTGCTCTTATGGAATCACTGTTGGCTTAAAGAAAGCACTATGTTTGTAGCAGTTAAATTGTTGCCAGAAGGAAGCAGGGAGTGGTCATTTTCCATCCCATCTTGGACAGGAAGTATATTTTTCTTTCTGTATAGAAGTTTTACCTCTTGACCAGAGTAAGATATACTGATGGAGGAGTATGCATATTTGTGTATAATTGGAACTGTAGTCTAACTTGATTGGAAAAGTCTAGCCATTCAGTACTCAAGTCTCAAAATACTCACATGGTTATTTTTTTAAAAGAATAACTTTACAGATAATTGTTGATTAAATGTTATTAATAATCCCTTGCACATATTAAATTTATAGGCTCTAATGCATCTTTTTGAATAAACTCAATCTGCAGCTTATGAATTATTGATATGGCTATTTTCTTATTTTCCATTCTCTTTCTTTGTCCAAGCTTTGCAAGGTAATACTTTAACACTATAATTTCCTGATCTGCTGCAATGATGCATTGCCATGCTTATCAGCATTTAATCTCTCTCTTTCCCTCCCTCTCTCTTTCATCTTATGCACAGATAGGTTTCTCTGCAGAATTTTATTTCAGGCCACTCTAGCAACCCAATGTTGCTGTTAATTAAAAATGCCAAGGAAAGAAAGATCAACTGACAAACCGATTATTTAGACAATCTTTTCTGCTCTCTTCTACATGATTCTTGCAGTACCTCCTCAGAAAAAGGCTGAGTCATAGGTCAGTCTGAGATACAAATCGATGCTCATTGTTTGGTTGTGCATTTTAAAGCAGAAGCTCCCATTTCTTTTGGGAGCAGTGGGCATATTTAGAATTTTGAAAAAACAAGGGTGGTTTTGCAAAAGAATTTATGGGTAGATGGTAACCAGTTACAAAGGGCCTTTCCCTCAGTATCAAGTTATCATAAAATCCACCCATACTTGAGTTGGCTGAAAAATACGATATGTGTTGTTCCAATGCTGATCCATATCTTTCCTCTGCTCACCTGTTCCTGGTTACTGGAGTTAGTGGACTCCAAGATAACAAAGCCTGATATACCTTGGAGACTATCCTTATACAGTACCCAGTAAAACAAAAGTACTAATTTATCAGAATGTTACCTGCCATTCCTACTATCCTCCTCCCGTTGGCATGCTCTCTGTTATTGCTACTTATTTTTGTCATTTTTCTGAAAGATGCACAGATCTCCAAGCAAAATATTAGACTGTATCTGCCCCTAGTTTTATTTCATAAGAAAGCTAATGGGACCTATTTGAATATTTTTTTAAAGACAGATGGTGCTTGAAGCTAGTGTGCTTGGTTTGGTTTTTTGTTTTATTAGCAGACTTTTCAAATGTAAAACCCGAGTGAAATTGGGAGCATCAAAGAAGATGTCCAGAGAAACATTGGCTCCCTCTAGATCAGGGATGTCAAACTCAATTTCATTGAGGGCCACATCAGGGTTGTGTTTGACCTAGCGGGGCTAGAGTGGGCGTGGCCAATTCCACATCACTCATGTCAGGGGCGCCTGTGATGGCTGAAGCTCTCTGCAGCGAAAACGAGCTCCCAAGCTCCGTTTTCAGCTGCAAGGGCCTCCTGCAACCCACTGCCAGAAAAACAATCTCTCTTTTCACTGGCAGAAGCACCACGGGCCTTTGCTGTTTCCAGGGCAACCCCGCCAGCCAGATCTAAGCACCCCACTGGCCGGATCCAGCCCCAGGGCCTTGAGTTTGACACCCCTGGTCTAGATGCAACAGTGGTGGTCTCACATATTTTAAAATGATTTAGCCCAGTGTAAGAGAAAGGTACCATAGATAGGTCTCAGGCTCATTGGGGTAGATAGATATTTCTTTAATTTAAGTTTGTATTGTTGGCCATTAAATCTGGGGCCTTTTGGATAAGAATCTGGTGAACCCAAGGGCTGTTTCCCACAGTTCAGTTAAAGCAGTCTGCTTTCATCTCCGAGCCAACATAAAGATAATGGTTATAGTTTTTGCTGTTCTCATTGCCATATTGTATTGTCTTTGTTCTAGTTTGCAGCCACATGACAATATTTTTATTTCTTGTGCAGAGAAGCTGCCACCCACCATTCACCTTCTAATAACACTAACCAGCAGGAAAATAATCTGCCAGTCACAGCAGTACTTATGATTGATACAGTAATGCTTGGGCAAATATCTTGATTTATGGGCTTAATTTGTCTGAATTTGCTTTCCATTTTCCCTGGCCTGAATCAACCCAAATAGCTTACAAGCATAGGTTGCAGCATTGGCTCCTTTCTGTTGTTTCATTGTGCAATCTCACCACAACTTTGAACAATGGATAGCACTCATTAGCCAGGCTGCTTTTGAACACAGGTTTAATGTTTTTTGCAGAAGAGTACTAAACAAGTTTTCATTTAGAACTTTTCTGGAGAAGTGCCAAACCTCTGTTCAAAAGCATCAGCTGACAGCTAAGAATGGGGATGGGAGTTGTATAAACTGGATCCTTCTCTATGGTGCTCCACTGAGCAACGTCTCTCATTATCTACTGCTGTTTTGGCTGCTGCTGAATAGAGATTTAACACTTTTCCAGAATTGCAATTGAAATTAGTTTACTGATCTTCTGAAATAATGTTAAACTCTTGTTCAAAAGCAGTCTGGACAATAACTAACAAACAATAGTTCTGGGAATTGAAGTCCATAAGTCTTAAAGTTGCCAAGGTTGGAGACCCCTGCTCTATATGGTATAAGATCCATGAAGGAGCTTAGGTAGGAGCTTACACCATATAAAGCAGAGAGATCCATCTTTCTCCTATTTCATCTGATACTTAAATTCCTACTGTCAGTTCTTACTTAAGCTAATCCAGTTCCATTTCAAAGATTGGTTCAGAGATCTCATTGAACCTGAGGGGTCTCCCGAGAAAGTGACATCAGGTCTGCTGGCTTCTCATCCCTCTTAAAGAGAGTTGCTATATATTGGGTAATTTAAATGCCCTACTTTTCTCTTCTTCCTCCCATTTTTTGTGAATTCTAATTGGTCTTTTTGTATAGTTGGAAAATGTTCAACATCATTTGAATCGCTTTAGCTAATCCCTGTACTTGGTGGAAGCCTTAATGCATGCCTGCATTAAATAAAAAATCAGCGTTCAAGGATTTTGTATGACATGGTTGGGCTTCCATGCAAGCCAGACACCTTGGTCCAGTGTTTGTCCTTTTGCTCCAGGTTTCCCCATCCATTCTATCCTAGAGGGAAACGCCACGGCTTCCTTCCTGACCTCGGGAGACCTAAAACTTCCTCTCAAGAAGCACCTCTGTGACTCAGCAGAATTCTGCTTGCACAGCGAAGGCTGCTTCATTTACATCAGTTGCTGCCAAATGGACCAGGCTCTGGCTTGGGTACAGAGCTCTCTCTGCTGGCAGAATTGCCAGCAGGTGCAAAAACAGTCTCGTCCCAGCCAGCTTTTTCACACTTGCTTATCTAGCATAGCAAGAAGTAGGACATGTTGGAGACTCATAGAGCCTCCTTCATCTCTCCTGAAAAAGGCAAGTGATGACCTCTGCTAGCGATCCCTTGGCGGTGAGCCTGGCATGGTGCTGGAAGGCGATGCACTTGACCAGAGGTACCTGTTTTTTCAGTCTTTGCTTTTGTGTGGATGAATGTTCTGAAAGAGTGATTAAGGGACTTCAGTTATACACAGCTCTGGTTCCTTTCTCTCTTTATTTTTAATCTCTTGCATTTTGGGTTGTCCTATTGAGGAGAACTGAAATGGCCCCGGGGTTTGAAGCATCAATAAACATATTGGTAAATAAGTGCATTGTCTGAATGACATCCTGGTCTTAAGCCTTAATATCATTTAATTGTTTGGACATAAATTATATAATGTTGAACTTATATTGGATTTTACTTGTGTTTAGAGTATGGCATGATATTTGAACCCAGCAAGTTGGGTCCCTAGTAAGCAGAATTGGTACCAGGCAGATACCACATTGCTAAATGAGAGTAACAACAGAAGGTCTCTTACTTTTCTTGGGATTGCAATATCTAGAAGTAGAAGCCCCTAAAATTTACAGAATAATGAAATTAGAAACAGCTTTAAACAGTTTCTACCATGTTGGCTGATGTGCTTGTAGGCATCAGTTGTCGTAGTTTGACTCTGGCTACTGGATAGAAGTCAGGAAGATGTGTGCAGCCTATTTTAGCCTTTTCCTACAGCACGGGTGTCAAACTCGCGGCATCACGTTGCTGTCATATGACGTTCCGCAACACTTTTCCCATTTGTGGAGCTGCGGTGGGCATGGCCTGCGTGTGACGCATCCGGCCCGTGGGTCACCAGTTTGACACCCCTGTCTTACAGTATAGACAATTTATATAGCCAAGGAAGAAATTGAGAGATGTTACTGTTTACATTTGATTATTGATTATTGTTAAAGTATATTGCTGGGATTGATTATCTTAGTAATAAATTATATTCAGGAAAAAGCTTTCAAATGTTAGTAAGAAATAGATGGCTATATCCAGAGGGGGAGGAGGGAAAGATTTGCTTATTCTGAGGAAGCTACACTGTCTGCATCTTTCCTTATAAAAGCATTTAAGAACAGCATTGCATAGTAAGAGGCTGTTTCTCCTACAAATGAGAGGGTGGGATTCAGCCAGAAGTACTGAAATGTTTGGAGTGTAGGAGTAGAAGTGGAGCTTTTGTAAACTTACACAACAGTGCTTTGATTTTTCCCTTGCCTTCTCTTAGTCACACAAAACTCTGTGCATCAGCAAGAAATCTCCCAGAAAGGATTTTTCAAAGCTATAAATGGATCTGTTTGCATCAGTGAAAAGCCAGCATCTGAAGTGCAGGTTGATAAACATCGGTCATAATTTAACTTTGAAACAAAGAAATATATTAACTTTCCAGTTTTATAACATCTGGCAGCAATTAAAAACAGTGGCTCTTCAAAAGTCTTAGTATCCATACTTCAAAAGTATGGAAATAGTAACTAGGGGAAGAATTTCATTTCCTCAGAAACAAATATAAGGAAGGATTTTGAGTAAATGTTGAGAATAGGCTACTGATATCTATGCAACAAAAGGGTAAATGCAGTCAGTGGCTTCCTGCTTAGCTTTCTGGAAAGGTCACTCCATACTTCACGCCTGGGAGGAAGAAAAAAACAATTGTAACATTATACTCTTAGATTAATCATGAGTTGCAATTGATTGGAAGCCTGTGTTTAAAAGTGCACCGGGTACTGGGAAGGCAAAAAGTTCTTTGTTGTTGTTGTACCATTAATCCTATTGTACAGCCTGGTGGTTTTCCTACTTTCTAAAGGTGAAATCACTGGCAGCTGCTGTTACAGTTCCTTGCTTCTTACCTGCTACTCCTTCACCCACCAATGTACCCCAGTCTACCAACATGGAATGGATGTTCGTTTGCTGAAAGTCATTTAAGTTGCCAGATATAACAGTGGTTTGTATTGCAGATATGGCTACCACTTCCATCTTCAGTAGAACTGAGTCTACATTGCTCCGTGTTAAATTCCGTTCTCTGTTCTTCCATTCTTAAATCTCTCAAATGCAGAGGCTGTTCAGGGGTTAAAAAAAAATACCAAACTTTTGCATCTGGTTATCTTTTTCTTTAAGAGGCAGAATAAATGTCTATATTTACCTTCTCCTTGCAGAGGAAAATCCTACTGTGTTGACACCCGTGGACTCAATGTCCGATCTGCTTCGGCCTGCGGGGGAACCAGGCCTGTCCAGAGAGGAGAAAAGGAAGAAGTTTGTTGTTAGGAAAATGAAACAGGGTCTTTTAAGGAGCCCCAGTAGTGCTAACATGTGGGCGATGCCCTTTGCCAGGCAAATAGTTCCCAGGGATTCCTCCCTTGGTAAGCAGTCCCAACCTCATAACGAAGGCAGAAGGCGGCATTGTTTAAAACCCCAATGCCTGGAGATCAAGAGGCTTCCATGAGGCCACTGAGATGATCCTAGTCCTTGGTACAGCATATCACGGGCACAGAGTGGGCTGGGCTTGCTGACGGAGCAGTTCCTCTGTCTATCGGGTTCATTTAACTCTTTGTCACAAAAACAAAGGGCGAGACTTTAGCTGTCGCTGGCTTCATGATCCCCTCCGAGCAGCAGATGGTGGCTGCAAGTAAATCGGGGTGGGGGGTGGGGGGGGAGGGTGGAGGAAGGGTAACATGCAGTATATGCATATTGTGGGTCTATTTGTGGTGGAGGGTACTTCTCTGTGTATGCCGGCACTGGCTTTTGTTTCTTTTTTTTTTCTTTAATTTATTATTTTGGTTGCCATCAATGACTTTGACGTTTGGTATTGGACTCTGGTGTTACTCATTGTATCAGTAAGCTGCTTTTAGAGGAGCAGATTTGGTTTAGCACTTCTGCATAATTTTATCATGGGACAGCCATCTGCAAGGTGAGGGGGAAAGGAGAGATCTCCTCGGAGTCCTTGTTGAAAGGAATTGGAGCTTTGCAGCCTGTGGAAGAAGTTCTCTTTGACCGTAGACTAGATCATGCCCCCCTATGAAGTATATTTCAGTCATTCAAATAAGTTTGCTCTTTGCCTCTCAGAATCAGTTATCCAAGGGTTCGTCTAGTCTTAAAACAGGTCAGGGTTTTTTGAACTTCACTGTAAAGTCTGTTTTCCCTCTTGTCTATGTTGAGGGGGTGTAGGGATTTGATCACGAAAACTTTGGTGCTTATAAAGGTATGGATCAGTGGTGAAATCTAAAATTTGTTACTACCGGTTCTGTGGGCGTAGCTTGGTGGGGGTGTGTGTGTGTAATGTGACTGGGTGGGCATGGCCAATTTTTTTTTTTTACTTTTAAAACCATTTTTTCTACAACCTCTTGGGGAAGAGGTTGTTAAAAAATGCTTTCAAAAGGCTCTGACGATCCCAGCTGAGTTGCCTGATTGTCACAGGGTTTTTAAAGAGCCATTTAAAAGAAAAAAAAGCCTCTGATAATCACGCGGCTCAGCTGAGCATTGGGGGGACAGGGATTTTTGCTACTGGTTCTCCAAACCACCCGCCTCCATCGCTACCGGATTGGGCGATCCGGTCCGAACTGGGAGCATTTCACCCCTGGTGTGGATCAACTATGTGAACATGTGAATGATTTTTTTAAATGTTATCTAATTCTGGGTTTTATTTAATTGACCAAACTAAGTAATAATTTTAATTAGCAATTTTATGATGTTTGTGTGTCTATATTTTTCTTGACTGTACACCGCCTTGAGTCCTACGGGAGAAAGGCGGTATAGAAATATAATAAATAATAAATAAATAAATAAATAAATAAATAAACAAACAAACAAACAATAAATAAATAAATAAATAAATAAATAAATAATAAACAAACAAACAAACAAACAAACTAGACAGCATTTCGGATGGTGCAGCTGGACTGCTTCCTGGCTAGTAATATTGTAATAACTACCTTTCGAGCACCGTTAGTGCTCTGTCCTAATTATTACCTGGTTACATTGCCTGAACTGTAATGTTTTATTAGGAAGTCCTCACTATCAGCCTGTATGTTGGACTGTTGCTGTCATTCTCATATATGAGCTTGTAGAGGGAAATAAAATCGAGAGTGATATTATCTTGTAGAAAGTTAGCACCCACCCCTCTCCTAGGAAAATGAAATATTCTAGGAAATGTTTAAAAAGGCAGAATATTATATTTTCCCTAAAGGAGAAACATGTTTCTAAAGACAAACTCAGAGCCTCAGCTCCCTGCCCCCTCCCGCCCCACTGCCCAACCCCCCACCCCCCGGCAGATATTTTGGTGCTAACCTATCTACAAGACAAAGGCTGGGCCAACTTATCTACAACATGATAGATGGCCCAGGACATGATAGAATTAGCCCTCACTCAAGATACAAACCAGGACAAAGCCATTAAGCCATAATAGGAATTGCGCAAAGCCCCTTCATTACATCATCACCCAGCAAGATTCAACCAGGCCTAGGACTCAAGTTACCCTACAACCTACAAAGTTACTCCTTTATAGCACCATGGGAGTCTGACAACCAATCAGAGTACATTTCTTACACAGGAACAGGAAGTTCCAAGGCGGGGCCCAAGAGAGAGTATAAATCTCTCTCCCTCTCTCACCCATGTGCTCATTTTGCCCCAGACCTCAAACCATGTGGTCCTGTCCACCATTAAACCATTTTTCCAAGCAGTCTCCATGTTTACAGTGTCTTTCTTCCCACTTGGAACTTAACCCAGATGGAGATTTCTTCTAACAATTTCAAATTATATAAAAGATAGTACCAAGTTAGAGGAAGCGTGGCTGATGGCTACCAGATCACACTACAGCTAGTCCTTAACTTACAACAGTTCATTTAGTGATTTTTCAAAGATATAATAACATTGAAAATAAGATCACGTGATCAAAATTCAGACAGTTGGCAACTGTTTGATGGTTACAGTGTCCCAAGGTCATGTGATCACCTTTTGTAACTACTAACTTAACAACTGCAGTTATTCACTTAACAGCTGTGGCAAGAAAGGTCGTAAAATGGGGCAAAACTCACAAATGTCAGACCTAGCAACAGAAATGTTGAGCTCAATTATGATCATAAGTTGAAGACTACCTGTATTGCATAGGTCAGGGGTGTCAAACTGGCAGCCTGTGGGTCAGATGTGTCATGTGCAGGCCATGCCCACCCCAACTGCGTGAATGCGTGAAACATCACGTGACGGCAATGTGACGGTGCGAGTTTGACACCCGTGGCATAGGTGATTCTTGAATGTGTGACTTATGCCTTTCTTGCATACCAGTGACCGAGTTCTTGAGTGTGTGATTGACCAATACTACCACTGCAACTAAGACAGGCAAAACAATCACGGTACACAAACTATATCATTAATTTATAGATTTTAGCATAGTAAAATATGATGGTAACAGTGATAACCACTAGTTTGGATGTCTTTGGGTGGGAATTGTAAGGCTAAGAAAAATGCCTCCTTAAAAATATATCTCCCTTTATAGGAACATGGGAATTTCTGTGTTTCTTTTTATGGTTGATTGGGAGTTACGGGTTCAAGGCACTTTTTCCATCTATGGCGATTCTCAATCATCCAGGTCATGGTTGTCCCAAAGGTGCTTTTCTAAAAGGCAACTGGACTTTCTTGGTTTTTTCTTTGAAAACATTTTGTTTCTCATTCAAGGAACTTCTTCAGCTCTGAACTGAAGAGGTTTCTTGGATAAGAAGAGAAACACTTTCGTGAAAAAAGACCCCAAGAAAGTCCAGTTGCCTTTTGGAAAAGCAAATTTGGGAAAGGCATTTTTTCCTTTCTCCTTCCCCTTGTAAAAGCCATCTTGCTTCCACCAGAAAGAACAAAGTCTAACTTTGAAAAGAAGGTGCCATTGCTGTCACAATTACATGGTAAACCCATTCCTTCAGATTGTGAATAATTTCTGATGCCATACTGATGTTTTTTGGACATGCTACTGATTCCACAAAACTCTAATTGCTCATCAAATGCAACCTGTTAGGAAAAGAGGTTAGCAAAGAGGTTGAACAGCTGCTTTGCCTATAAAAATTCACAAATTCAATCCTAGGTTTAATTTGAAAACCCAGAAAAGCTGATGTTAATACCAACATTCTTAAGATTGATCAATTAGTGTTCTGACTGCAGAGAAGGCAATTTTGTACAGTTACTTTCAACTCAGCAGTAGATTAGACATTCTTCTCCCTGAATCTATCCTAAGGAACTATTGTTGGCAATAGTGAAGAGTAGAGCTTCTGCGGCTGTTATGTATAAGTTGGGTTGACAAAATCAGAAATGAGGTGATAAGCTGGGAAAGCCGAGGAAAAATCATAAAAAAGTGAAAGTTAGAATATTTTGGACATCCAGAAATATACAGCATAAAGGTAAAGGTTCCCCTCGCACATATGTGCTAGTCGTTCCCGACTCTATGGGGCGGTGCTCATCTCCGTTTCAAAGCCGAAGTGCTAGCGCTGTCCAAAGACATCTCCGTGGTCGTTTGGCCAGCATGACTAAACGCCAAAGACACACAGAATGCTGTTACCTTCCCACCAAAGGTGGTCCCTATTTTTCTACTTGCATTTTTTACGTGCTTTCGAACTGCTAGGTTGGCAGAAGCTGGGGCAAATAACGGGAGCTCACCCCGTTACGCGGCACTAGGGATTCAAACTGCTGAACTGCCGACCTTTCTGATCGACAAGCTCAGCATCTTAGCCACTGAGCCACTGCGTCCCCATAAATATACGGCATGCGTTTCACTTATTATTAGTCCAATTTATATGCCGCCCTTCTCCATAGACTCAGGGAGGCTTTCAATGCATTATAGCAATAGCCTGCATACTTTTATGTATATACCTGCTTATTAGGGCTTCCCCCCCCCCCAAGAAGCCATGAAGAACATCATGGCTTCAAAATCTAAGGGACTGGTTTGGACAAAACTCAGCAGCACTTTTTCATGCGGCTGTTGATAAAAATAGGATCGCCTACATGATTGCCACATGGCACAAGAAGAAGAGCTTCTGCATTGGGAAACAACAGAAATTGTAGTTCCTTCCATGTCCCTTTCTGAACATCCTAGAAAAGCTCTGCCTTGTCCCTTTAGAAGTGGAATGCTGGATTAGATGGTAATGAATCTCAGCTCCCAATGCAGGCTTTCTTTTTTTTTTTTTCTTTAAAAAAAAACCCCTCTTTAGGGTATATTGATTATGCTGGTTTGGTAATTTGTGTCAGTTTTTATGGAACTGTAAAAAAAATAGAGTGGGGATACTTAGCTTCTCATGCAGGAGAGGGAAGGAGGGAGGTGAGTCCCATATTATGTAGATTAATTAGATAATGTTTGCAAATTGTGTTGAACATGGCAAGAATGAGATAAAAGCTAGGCCTTATTATGCAAATTGCTAGCGGCTTTTGGTAGCTGGCAAGGGGCCAGAAGGGCTTTTCTCGTTTTCCCA